TCATTATGTCACCCTTGATAGAGTCCCATAGCGTCACAGCTCACAGCAACCTCAAACTCTTGAGCTTAAGCGATTCTCTTGCCTCAGCCTCCCAAAGTTTCTTTTCTTCTTGGACTTTCCTTTTCTTTTCCTTTTTTTTTTTTTCTTAAGAGACAGAGTCTTACTATGTTTCCCTGGATAGAGTCCCATGGCGTCCCAGCTCACAGCAACCTCAAACTCTTGGGCTTAAGCAATTCTCTTTCTCAGCCTCCCTAGTAGCTGCAACTACAGATGGCCACCACAAGGCTCAGCTATTTGTTGTTATTGTTTAGCAGGCCTGGGCTGGGTTCAAACCCACCAGCCCCGGTGCATGTGGTCAGCATCCTAAACACTGAGCTATGGGCACCGAGCCAAATAATGTATTCCTGATGTAAAAAAAAAAAGTCAGATCTGAGATTGATATATGTTACTATGTTTTAGGTACACAATTAATGAAAACTATATAGATAGATAAACCTAGCCATAATCTAGGGAACTTACATTTCCAAGAAAGAAGAGAAAATCTCACTAGCATGTAGGCAGAGAAAATGCATTACTTATAAAGCAACAGAAAAATAGAATGGCCTCAGACTTCTCTATAATACTAAATACTAAGCAAGGATCAGTGAAGCAGTATTGACAAAGTTTGGAGTTGAAATGTTAGTGACCCAAAAAGACTCTAACTCCTCAAGCATGACAGCACAGAAATAAATTATCAGGTATGTATGAGCTCAGGCAAAATAACATTCATGTTATCCTTCTTGAAAAGATTCCCTGAGTGAGGCACTCAGCTAATTCAGAGCCAAGTTTATTTATTTATTTATTTTAGGACAGAGTCTCACTCTGTCACCCGGGCTGGAGTGCCATGGCCTCAGTCTAGCTCACGCCACCTCAAACTCCTGGGCTTAACCAGTCTTTCTGCCTCAGCATCTTAAGCAGCTGGGACTACAGGCTCATGCCATCATGCCCAGGTAATTTTTCTATTTTTTAATAGAGACAGGGTCTGTCTTTGTTCAGGCTGGTCTTGAACTCCTGACCTCAAGGGATCCTCCTGCCTCAGCCTCTCAGAGCACTAGGACTACAGGTTTGAGGTAACTCATCCATCCAAGAGATAAATTTAAATTAAAAACTCATAAATGGGCAGTGCCTGTGGCTCAAAGGAATAGGGTGCCGGCCCCATATGCCGGAAGTGGCGGGTTCAAACTCAGCCCCCGCCAAAAACTGCAAAAAAAAAAAAGAAAGAAAGAAACTAAAAACTCATAAATGAGGAAACTGTGATATAAAAGGACTAAACCTAATTTGACATAGAGAATTATATATAACTATAAAATTAATATATAACTGCAAAATAAGAATTTTATTTGAGAAGAAAAATGGTTAAAAAAATATGAATATATAAATTTGGTTAAATAAAAAAAGAAAGTTGGCAGGAGAAAAAGGGAAGAGACAAGTGAATGTATGTTAAATTCATAAATTATTACTTTGTTCTAGACTTTCATTAAGAGATAAAGTTTTAAATATGCATTTGAGCACTGTTTTAAAAATTCTAAGTAAGTATTTGATACTCTGCTGGGAGAAAAAATCCTCACCCCAACATAAACCTCATCCACAAGTATACTCATCTGTTACTGTGATGTCAACATCAAGAACATGCCTTGGACATAGGCCATAATAAGCAATTTGATAAACAATTTATATATTATCATAAGCTTATTACAGTGACTCACAAGAAAGACTATAAAATCTCATATCATCTCACACCAACACACAGAGCATACATACCTGCACACTGGCTGTTACCACTGAAGACCCTGAGGCAGAGGATGGTCTATGTGGAGTAGACAACGGTTTAGTAGCACCCTGTGTTCCACTTCCTGTTCCCCCGGACAGACTAGTCCTATTAGTTCCGCTTGAGCTAAGGTTGCTACCTCTGCTGGCAGGTACATTCATCGCAATTCCACTCAAGCTGTTCTTGCCAACAGTTCCAGTGGATGGTGAGTTTGTTAGCTTTGAAGGGGCCTGAAGATTTTTTGTAGATGGAAGGCCCGAAGTGCGATTAGTAGGCAATAAATTCAAGGTGGGAGACTGTCTGCTGATGTTTATTCCACTGGGCTGTTTATGGACTAGGTTGTTACTACTGGAGTGGCTACTCTGGGCTACTAGTGCATTTGTACTGGAAGAACTTGGGGCTACAGTAGGCTTAGGAGTTGGGTTGGATTTAGAAATAAGTTTAGTTGATACTGAAGGCTTAGCTGACAGAGAGGGCTTGGGTGAGGCAGAAGGCTTAGGTGAGGGCAAGGGTTTAGGGGATGTGGCAGGTTTAGGAGATGCGGCAAGTTTGGGGGATGCGGCCATTGTGAAGGGAGATTTGAAACCCTGCGTGGAGATTTGTGACACCATAGCCTTGGCTAAATAGTTACTGGAGGTAGTGGTGCTAGGTGCTGTCCTAGAAACCAGGGGGTGGGACCCTTGAGAACCATTTCCAGGTGAGGGGGTTGATAATGGAAGGCGGTACATAAGTGGCTTATCTGAAGTCTTAATAAGTGGGGATGAACAGGAAAGTTGGGGATTATTACTTAATTTCACCACTGGGTTGGTCTGTGATTTACTAATCGTGGCTTGTAATGGAGACACGTAGTTCTGTTGGACAGCCGAATGCTGGTGCACCTTTGTTACAGGTGTTAATGAAGAAGCATCTTGGGCCTCAGATGTTCCCAGAGTGTGAGAGGAGGCAGCAATTTGGGCTTGGGAAGAGGAGGAGATGTGAGTTTGTGAAGAGGAAGAAGCGTGAATCTGGCTTGACCTCTGTAGTCCTTGCTGAAGTAGCCTGGCTGGCAATGGTTCTAAAGAAACTTTAGGGTTCTGAATTGAAGAACCAGCAATAAGGCCAGAAGAGATGCCAGTATGAGCTAAATCCTGGGGTTTCTTTGGTACTGGCCCTGTGTGACCAGCAATTAGACTTGAAGAATGTGCAGTCTGAGTAGCATCTAGTTTTTTGGGGGTAGCCAGTGGCAGCTTACTCATGATACTTGCTAATTTTTCTTCTCTCAGTCCTGGACGAGGTTTTGTAGCTGGCATGCTTATCCTTGAGCCAACTGCAGGGGCCTTGTTCCCACTGTTGATAACAGCTAAAGCTTCAGAAACAAGATCCAGTGAAGGTGAATGGAAAGAAAGGTCTTCATCTAGTGAGTCGTCGAGGCAGATGGTTTCTTGGGCTGGTGCAGAGCTGGAGCTGGCTATAGCAACGGCAGATGTGTTTGAGCTTGTTGGAGGACCGCCAACCGAAGCCACCAACGATGCAGGAGTTTTCTGATCCTTTTTTGGACTACACTCCTAGAATAAGCATCATGATATTGGAAAAAATAGAAATGGCTAACAAAAAACTACACAATTAATTTTAAAGAATTAAGCAATTTTCAAGATAATTAAAATTCTTTTCTACTAGAAATCTTTCAAGACTGCCAAAACCAAAATAATTTTTGACAAAACAGAGCTCCTGACTATACACTGTGCAAATGTGCTGTATCATGGTCAGATAGTCTGACAAGAGGGGTTTTTCTGTTTTTTACATTCCTCCCACCACCCCAATGAACAAGTGAGTTGTATAAGAAGAGGGCTTAACACCAAGTGGAAGGATCACTCACACTCTTGTTACATCACTGAGACCCTCTACCACTTGTATCAGATCTTCAGATCCTAGTCCCAATCCATCTATTCAAACATTATTCCCTTTTCATTCTCAGGAGAATTTCTGCCTTTATATAAGACTCCTCCCAGCTTTGCCGATTGTGGTTTGCTAAGATGCTGACTCTCTCTTTGTTTCTTTGCATTTTCCTATTCTATAGAGAAAGTGGCACATCAAACTGGCAGATGATGTAATCCAAGCATACTTAAATTATGTTTTTTATTCATTAGGTGAACTTGTAATTTATTTATAACTTACTCATTTGTAATTTATTCAACATATATTTACTAAGTGTTCACTATGAGCAAGGTCCTGTGTTAAGAAAACAAGGTATTAAGAATGAAAACTCTCAGGCCAGGCACAGTGGCTCACACCTGTAGCCCCAGCACTCCAGAAGGTCAAGGCAAGTGGACTGCCTGAGCTCAGGAGTTCAAAACCAGACTTAGCAAGAGCAAGACCCCCATCTCTACTGAAATATTAGGAAAATTAGCTGGGCATTGTAGCAGGTACCTGTAGTCCCTGATACTTGGGAGGCTGAGGCAAGAGGATCTGATCACTTGAACCCATGAGATTGAAGTTCCTGTGAGCTATGACACCACAGCACTCTACCCAGAGTGACAGAGAGAAACTCTGTCTCAAAAAAAAAAAAAATTAAAACAGTATCTAAGGAAAAAAAAGTCTTAAAATTCAAAGAAGAGATGACAATTATAGAATAGTTCATAGTAAAGAATAAGAAAACTAAAAAGAGAAAGAAAACTAAAACTGTCAAAGAATAAGAAACTAAAAAGCAACTGTTTCTTTTTTAAGATTAAAAAGAAAAAACCTATTACATAAAAGTTGTTTCAAAAGAGAAAGAGTCTCACTTTGTCGCCCTTGGTAGAGTGCTGTGGCATCACAGTTCACAGCAACCTCCAGCTCTTGGGGTTAGGCAATTCTCTTGCCTCAGCCTCCTAAATAGCTGGGACCACAGGTACTCGCCACAATGCCCGGCTATTTTTTTTTTCTGCTTGCAGTTTTTGGCTAGGGCCAGGCTTAAATCCACCACCTCTGGTATGGGGGGCCACGGAGGAAAGGTATATGGGGCCAGCGCCCTACTCCTTGAGCCCCAGGCGCTGCCCAGCCCGGTTATTTTTTTTGTTGCAGTTTGGCTGGGGCTAGGTTTGAATCTGCCACCCTTGGTATATGGGGCCAGTGCCCTACCCACTGAACCACAGGTGCCGTCTTCTGCTGGTTTCTTAAAAACAAACACAAATGAGCACCAAACCAGTCTGTTTTATTATATATTGGTTTATACAACCATAGCACTTACCTTAAGCATACTGGGGAAAGAATGGAGAGGAAGGGTCTTTATCATCACCTCCTAAGGTATTACAGTAAGTAAGCTGTTAAGAATGCTGTTACACTCTTAACTTCCTTAGCAGATTCTCTAAGCTTTTATTCTAACACCTGAGATTAAAAACTTCACTGCCTATCAGAAGTACATGGTATAACTGGATTGAGAATCACAATTGTCTACTAAGATGAAAGCATAATTTCATCATGAAAGTTTAAGATAAGACATATGTTTGCTTTGACATGCCATACAATTACATACATACAATCAATGAAAATTCCATCATTATTATAAAAATTATAGACCTGAGGGTAGGAAAATATATAAGAATAATATTGGTAATATTATCAGTATTTTAACACTGCCACTTCAAATAACTTCTTAATTTTTCTTTATAAAAACAACACTAAATACACTTAATAGAATACTATACAAATTTAAGATTGATACACCATTTAGTGAAAAAGCAGGTCATCTCATTTATACAGAATGTCAATTCAATAAACGAATGGTTGGTTGCATAGATGCATGAATGGATGGAGGGAAAGGACAGAAGAACAGAGATCCAGAAAAGGGAAGGCAGATGTGCACCAGAAAGTTCAGAGCTTTTTTTTTCCTAAGGAGAAATTTCCAGATACTTTTACTTTTCTCCTGATATTTCTGTATTGTTTGTATGTTCTACTGTAGGCATTTCCCTATATTACCTTTATATCTGTATTAGAAGAGAAAGTAGGTTACTAAGAACCATTTACTCTACAGGTAAAGAGGCTCTAATACCCAAAATTCAGAAGCCACAGAAGAAAGGATATTGAGTTGGCCATAACTCCACAAGCAAAGAAAGTCAAGTATTCAAAGGGATGAAGGCTATGGAGAAAAGTCTAAAATCTGAAGGGTGTGGACTTTCATTAAAATTTTAATTTCAAGAGATTAAAGATTTTATCTCTAGAAGTTATACTTAGTTTTCTTTCAAATCTACTTTGTCTATTTTTACAGGATTTTTTTTATTATCTTTACTTTCCTCTTCTTTCTAAATAATTAAACATTTTAAGTAAAGTTACAGTATTTTATGTTCTAAACCCAATACATCTACCACTTGCCTTTCTTAGGGACCTAACTCTACTGTTCATGGTTTCTACTGACACTCACTCTTAGTAACTTCTTCCCTCATGTGCTCTGTGTTCCAGACTGTAAGCTCAGGTCCATCATAGATGACAGATGGCAAGCCTTTGAGGCCTAGGAAGAGGGCATACTATACCTGGGAGAATTTGCTTTTGCCATTTGCCCTGGGTTATTACCAGCCCAATAACTTGAAGTTACTGTCTCAGTATTATACAGGCAGTATAAATTGAACTTTTAAACCAGGGAAATTTTTCAGGGAAGAATTTCTTCTTCTAATCCAGAATTTAAGGCAAGATAGGCATTTTTCTTAATCTTTCTGCCAGTGGGTACTTCTATGCAGGCTTCATCTCAATTTATGACCTACACAAGTTCAAGAAAACCTGGTCTGTTATGCTCTGAGAAGAAATGTAAAAAGAGATCACACGGTGATGGATAGAAAGTGGGAAATGCTCACAAGGGCAACCAAAGTTTAAGTGATGGAGTAACAGCGTCAGCTCCTTGGTTTTTGGCCTCTTGCATAACTGTGATGCTTGTGTAAAGGATATTTGTTATATTTTATCCAGTATTTCTAAGTAGAACCAAGTTAAGCTTTATAGTTTAATTAATGTATGCAAATTTTCCACTACAGTCATTTATTCTTTCAAATATAAAGGTCCTAGGATTATTACAAAGTTGAAAACATCCATCTTCTAATACCTATTGATCTTTGTTGAGTATCATATATCCTCTTCATCTTAAGAATATATTTCAACATTCATCAATTACGAATAATTAAAAATTTGGTTCAATACTTACTTTTACTTTGGGTTTAGGTGCAGGAATCACCTTTTTCTTTGCCCTAAGATAAAACATTAAAAAGATGATCATTTTAGCAGCAGTATTTCACCCACTGGAAAATTACATTACTAACATACAGACTTTTAATTGTGTGAGTAAACAATTCCTTCTGCTATTTGGAAAGCTCTTTTAAGGGAAACTATATATAACTGCTTAGTTTATATGTGAATAGACAGGAACATTTCCCCCACTTTCGATTAATAGAAAGAAAAGCTAAATAATTAGTAAAATATAAAATGTAGATAATAACATTTTTTAAAACTTAAATATGAATACATAAGATATAAAGTAATTCAAAACAGGCTAACAAAGCTGTCTAAGGAGAATCACTTAAAAAAACTGGTAAGAACAGCTTACAATTATTTGTAGAAAAACAGAGCTTCAAGGAACTTCAAGTTCAAATTAAACCATATCAAGAAGTTGTGAATGAGAGTTAACTTAAAAGAAAAACCTTTTTCTTTTTTTTTTTTTTTGAGACAGAGTCTCATTATGTCACCCTGGGTAGAGTGCCGTGGCATCACAGCTCACAGCAACCTCCACCTCTTGGGCTTAAGCAATTCTCTTGCCTCAGCCTCCCAAGTAGCTGGGACTACAGGCGCCTGCCACAATGCATGGCTATTTTTCTGCTGCAGTTCTCATTCTTTCTTTTTGTTTGTTTATTGAGACAGAGCCTCAAACTGTCACCCTGGGTAGAGTGCTGTATCATCACAGCTCATAGCAACCTCCAACTCCTGGGCTCAAGCAATTCTCCTGCCTCTGCCTCCCAACTAGCTGAGACTACAGGCACCCCACAAAGCCCGGCTATTTTCTGGTTGCAGCCATCATTGTTATTTGGCAGGCTTAGGCTGGATTCGAACCCACCAGCTCAGGTGTGTGTGGCTGGTGCCTCAGCCACTTGAGCCACAGGCACCGAGCTGTTGTCATTGTTTCTTAGCTGGCCTGGGCTGAGTTTGAACCCTCCAGCCTCTGTGTATGTGGCTGGCGCCATAACCATTGTGCTTTAGGCGCCAAGCCAAGAAAAAAACTTTTTAATGTAAAAACACAAATAAAAAATGTCTGGGAGAAAAAATGTAAGAAAAATTACTATGAAACTTTATACCTCTTATAAAGCAGTAAGAAAAGGTTTGAAGATTAAAAAACAATCTTTTGGCTCGGCACCTGTGGCTCAAGTGGCTAAGGCGCCAGCCACATACACCTAAGGTGGCGGGTTCGAATCCGGGCCCGCCAAAACAACAAAGACAGCTGCAACCAAAAAATAGCTGGGCGTTGTGGTGGGTGCCTGTGGTCCTAGCTGCTTAGGAGGCTGAGGCAGGAGACTCCTTAAGCCAAGGAGTTGGAGGTTGCTGTGAGCTGCGATGCCATAGCACTCTACCCAGGGGGGACAGTCTGCTTGAGGTTCTGTCTCCAAAAAAAAAAACAATCTTTTGAGTCCTATACAGAAAAAGTACTCAACTGTTTGTTAAATAAAGTTATCAATAAGCTAAAATACCTTACCTGTGGGAATATTCCTATTTCACTAGGTTAAAATGCCACTAATTAAATTAACAACTATCCTGATTAAAACTATAAAATTACAACTTCATTAAGGCAAAAGTAATTTTCAAAGTTTTTAATGAAAGCAAAAAAGAAATTGGGCAAAAGAACTCCAGACCTATTTAGCCCATATTTTATTTTCTGGTACAAAACAAAAGAGAAAATAAGTGATAACAATGAAGCTATTAAAAAAAAAAAAACTGAGGAAGCAGACCTATGTAAATATCTCCAGAATTAAATTGATGAGTTATTTATAACTGAATAGCAATGCACATGTCGGTTCAGAACTATAGTGGTCCCCACCCCTTACCCACGGGTTTAATTTCCCGTTTTAGTTACCTGCTGTCAACCAAGATCTAGAAATATTAAACAGAATACTCCAGAAATAGAGAAAAATACCATAGTTACATAACTTTTACTATAGTATGTTATTAAAATTATTCTATTATTAGTTATTATTACCTCTTACTATAAATTATTATAAATTAAACTATGTTCAATACATATGCATAGGATAAAAACAGTATATATAGGATTTGGTATTCTCTGCAGTTTTAGGCATCCAGTGGGGATCTTAAAATGTTTTCCTGGCTCAGCGCCTGTGGCTCAAGCAGCTAAGGTGCCAGCCACATACACCTAAGGTGGCGGGTTTGAATCCAGCTCGGGCCCGCCAAACAACAATAATGGCTGCAACCAAAAAATAGCTGGGCATTGTGGCGGGCGCCTGTGGTCCCAGCTACTTGGGAGGCTGAGGCAGG